TATGTTTTAATTTATTGTGATTTCACTTTAATTTAGTTGGTATTTAAATTTATAGTAGACATATTTAGCCCCTGTTTGAGCCATATTTTCCATATCATCATAATGAGAAAATTGACCGTTGGAGAGGAAGCTGAGTCCCATACATGAAACAGAAAGTCAACAAAGGCGGCTGGACTTGTGGGATAACGGTCCAAATTTTTATTTTTTTGTCCCAGAAATTTGGTTCAAACAGGGGCTTAGTTTGTTTTATATTTATCCCTAGTAAGATATAATTATATATTGAATTCAATTAATTAATGACATAAAAGTAGATAGACAAAAAGATTATATGACGAAACCAAGAGTTTAAAATCGGACCAAACCGTTAGATTTAGGTTTGAGGTTTTTTCAAACCGTTCAAAATGGTTTAGTTTAGGTTTGGGTTTTTCTTAAACCGGTTTGGTTTGAAAATCTGTCAAAAGTCGGTTAACCGGACCGCTTGCGCCCCTAGTACTCGTGACACATTTTGATCTTAAGCTGTGTCAAATGGATTAGAAACTAAATAATTCTTTCTATGGGCTTAAGCAAGCTTACCTTCAATTGTACTACAAATCTCATTAAATAATCATCTTGTTTGATTTTTAGGTAAATAAAGTTGATGAATGTGTATATTACAAGTTCAATGGAAGTAAACATAATTTCCTGATATTGTATGTAAAAAAAAAAAAAAAAAGAACAACAACAATGAATTCCTATATTTGATAAAATCCAAAATCACCATGCTAGAGTTTCTTTACCGTGGAAGTGAGATTGAAGTCACAACTTGAAATCCATAGAAATGTCTTTAACAAAATCATTATGACTGAACTTACATATTTACATTATAAATTTCATGATAATGGGTAAATATTTCCAAAACACACGTCTATATAGGAGATTAATAGAAGACATAATAAGGCTGAGAAATTATGAAATAGGAACTCAATTTATTAAGCAAAAAGCAAGAACCCCCTTTTTTTAACAAATAAGTCAAAAGAAATGCTCAATCATGTAGGAATCCGAGCACATACTTCAATAAATTTCATAAAAATACTAAAACTATACTGACAATAAATCAATAACATTTTTTTAATCAACGGCTGAGTTCATAAATTAATTTTTTTTTTTTTTTTTGGGGGGGAGCAATACATATATAAGGTGTTTACTGTACATCAAAGTTTAAAAATTCGAAAGTTAGTTGATAAATAATATATAATATACCATATATAAAATAAATATCCATCTTAATATCTCGATCCACTTCAATCTGTCTCTCTACAGACTCGTCCAACTACAATAATCGGCATTCACCCACCACCATCCCTTCTCACACAACGATGGTAGTGAAGATCTAGATAAAGGCGCTTGATTCGAGATCCATGAGTACATCATTTCAAGGGCAGCAATTTTTTTGGATTTTTAATTTAGTGAAACGACGAGAATTGGGGGATTATGTAATTGAACTTCACCTTGGAAAATCGATTGACGTTAGAATGATTTAAGGAATGAAATTTTTAGCGATGTGATTTAAACTACTGTAGAGAACTGATTTGTTCATGGAGTGTAAATTTGATTTAGATGTAGATGCTTTGTACAACTGGGTTTTGAATAATCCTTTAGAATTATCAAAATTTTTGAAAGGATCCGTCGGTAATTGAATTTGCCTCATAGCTCGTAATTGAGCAAGTTTTATCTTGAGTTATTGGGTGAAGAATAAGAAAAAGAGAATTTATTTGTAGTTTCCATTTTTCCTCGGTGACCAGTTATTTTAAAAGTATGGCCTATGCATTATGAAATGTGACATGTGACCTATGATATTGATTCGGTGGCCTGTGACCAGTTCTCTTGGATCTATAACCTAGGGACATAATAGTATTTAATCTATAATATATTAAATTTGAAATTGCGTAGAAAGTTTATAAGTGTCATTTATTGTATATAATAATTCACATAATGGTTTACATATACATAATTTGGTGAAATATAATTGGATCGGAATTTGTTCCATCAGGAAAAAAAAAGAAAAGAAAAAACTCCATTCTTTTTTTGACACCTTATCTGCATGTAAATCATTATGTAATTTCGTTATGGACAAGTAACATTATTCTTCTTATAATGAGTGTAGCCATCAAATTGGTGCATTGAACAATAGAAAGTATAAGATGCAGGCTCAAGGTACATGAAGCATCTGGGTGGTTTGTTTGAAAATGGATAATGGTGTCGTTTGGTACTTTAAGGTGCAGATCGACTCTATAATGTACGGTTGAGATTTCATGATATTTGATTTGATGATTGTTAATCCAGATGTAATACTTATAAAAGGATTATGGTGCTATTACTTTTATTCTTTATACCTTGTGTGCAAAACATTCTGAAAGTTTTTACCTTCATTAAGTGCTAAGATATAAGAATTTCTAGTGAGAGAGAAAACTTAGGTATGAATTCTCAACATTCCTTTATTAATTTCATTCATGTAGAAATTTTTCGAAAGGTAAAATATTATTACCTTGAAAAATGAAAGCAATGAAAGGAGATCGTTGAGTCATTAATCGTTTGTCCTACGAGAGCAAATCATCCTAGTGAGGCAGTATTAGAGGGGGACTTCATAGTTGCCACTATATGACTAAGATGGTGCTGGTGTTTTGAGGCTGGGGATAAAACTTGGGGTTGTACTATGGGTACATTAGGGAGTGCCATAAGGGTGTTCATAATGGACACCCAGCACCCCCTTATTGGAGAGGCACCCAAGCCCCACTGACACCCATCCAATAGGGGGGTTCCGAATGTTCATTATGAACACCCTTATAGCACCCCCATGTACAAGAAGAATAATCCTAAAACTTGTGCCAGGGATGTAGAGGTACTTGAAGAGGTTACCGGCAGCGCAACCAAGGCTGAGGAAGGGATAAGGATGAATTCAAAGCCTAAAAGATGTAAAGGAAAATACGTATAAAAATATAATGTACCTTTAAATGTTTTCAATATCTCATTTAACATGTGGTATAGAGCCGAATAAGGATAAATTAATTAACCTTTACTCAACGCTTGGTGTAATTAATACTGATGAACCGAATAAAATTAACATGCTTAGTGAGGGGGAAAACAAATTATCAATTAACGCAGTCCAGTACGTGTTAAGAAAAAAATAACTAAATTGAAATACCTAAATTTCCTCCAGTTTTAATTTAAATGAAATACAAATTAAAAAAAAAAAATGGAGGTCACTGGTCTTATATTTGATGTAAAGGATGATGCTGACTCTTTTAATTAAGTGAATTTATAAAGTAAAAATCTTACAATTCTATAGCACGGAAACGAACCAAATCAAAACACGGAAAAGTTTTAACATAAAAAGAAAGAGATTATGGATATATAGCATAAAACTCCAAGAAAGATTAAACAAATATTTTTGAAGAATCAACAACAGCCGGGAGCTCAGCAATAGAAAAACAACGGCTGGATAATAAATTAAATAGCTAAGATTAAAGGGAAACTATATGACTTCAAAGTTATTGGGCGGTGATTTGAATATATATTATTACTTATTCAATTTCTAAGAGATTTGGCCTTCACTTTCTGTAACATCTCCATCGTCAATAAATCCAATTCTCTTCCTAAAAGCTGCCTTGCGCTTCTGTGGGCACATAAAAGTAATGTAATTATTTAAAAATAAAACTTAAGAACAAAGTTGAATTGATAGATAGTGAGGTTCAAAAAGTTACCTTTAACATATCCTCATACAATGTCCATAATTCTTTCATTCTCCTTATATCAGCTTGCATCTCGTCATCCACCTCTTCATACTCGGCATATAGTTTTTCGACATCAGTATCTTTCTCGGCATCTTCCTCATCTAATTCTGCACATGCCTCACGAATCTCAGAGGCTAGCTCTTCCAGCTCCGCATTCAGATCATACACCTCAGCTCTTAGCTCTCGAAACTCCTGCATCAAACAAATAAATCTACAATATAATGAATCCATAACAAGTTCTCGGGATATACAATTCATGGACGGACCCACATGGGGTCAGGTGATCTCCCCCCTTTTTTTCGAAAATTTCTTGTTCTAGTTTATTTGCCGACTTATATTTTTGTGTATTTATTCATTTTTAGTGTTTCGAAATCTCAAGTATGCTTTGACATGATAGAAACTAGGGACATTAGGCAAGCTAGAAGAAAACACTCGAGCGCCAATGACTAAAGCCTACCGTTCTTGGAGCGCCATTCAAGCGCACTTAATTTTTGACCCGACAGTAGAAAATGTCTGGCTCCGTCCCTGATACAATCCATGTATCCATTTTACCGTGTGAAAATATCGCTCGTTCCTCTGCCTTATCAAACTATATCAAATTTACCCTTGGAAGGATATTAGAAACAGATAAATTAAAAATAAAAATCCCATTATAATGCGACAGAACCACCACAAACTGTCATCTCAAATATTTTGCAACAAAACGTTACCATCAAGTTCACCGAACACAGGTTATAGTGTCACAATTGGGTTCTTGCAGGTGGAACAGATTAGGTGCAACCATTTTGATTAAAGGGTTTTGCTGAACATTCTGGAACGATAATGAGTGCGTACCTGCGTAGTGTATATACTCTCGGCTCTTGTGGGCCTGTTATAATCCTCGTTCCCTTCAAGAAGCACAGATTTTCTTTTCAAGTTCCTGATACCAAACACAAGTTTTAATGAAATAGGCTCAGAAACAGGTCAGTAATACAGAGAAAAATACGAACTTACTTTCGTCCTCGCTTCTTGTGGGCTTTTCTAAGGATAATTTTCCTTAGAAACGACATTATTGTAACCTACAGCAAAGTTTCGGTCAATAAACAAATAGAAAAATAAAACCGGCTCACGAAAACCTATTCCACGCCCTACTTTAGAGAGAAAAGCAAAAGATCTTTTTGGAAAAGTTTAATCGAGTGACAGAAACAAAACATCGTTTAACGAACACCCAGAATCACCCAGAAAACATCGTTTAGAAAACGCGGTTAAGAAAAATTAAAAGAAAACGGGATGAAAGAAACAAAAAGAATACGATTCACGAACCTCTCATACACAGTAAAAAAAGAATTGCATAATAAAATACACTGAAAAAGTATTAATCAACTAAAGATGAACTTACACGGAAAGATGAATCTATCGAGCAAGAACTCCGCGACGACCAAACCAAACACAAGAAAAACAAGGGAGGTTGCTGAAGGCACTTTTTCAAGCTTCGAATTAGGTTTTCTCGGTCGTGGAAACTGGAACCTGAAGATTGAAATTTAGGGGTAATGATTTAGGATTAGACGGGTTGGGCTACTATAAATAAGGGAAATTTTTACCGAAGGAAAAGATAATTCCAATGCTAACACAATTGTTTCATTCCTAAGCTACTTCTATATTTTATTATAATATAAAATTCCAAAATTATGGAAAGACCCAAATAACGTAAATTTAGGTAAGTGCTTGCAAACAAAATAAAATAGCTCCAACAATGTAGGAGTTCGTTATAAAAACAATTGGATCGAAAAGAATTTATTAAAATTTCAATGTGCCAAGAGTTGTAATCGATATAGAATTTTTTATTTTATTTTATTTTTAAATCAACTTATGATGCTCACTTAATATTTCATAATTGTGTTGTGTATTTGGAGGAATTATTCCAAAATCCTTATTAATTATTTTGAAACTGTTGTAAATAATATGTTTATTAATGAATGACAATTATATCTTTTTAGCATAGTAATTATTATTATTGTAATTCTAATTCTTTCCTATATATGGGGCTCTGAATACGATATAATACAAATAAACCTATAGAATTTTTCACTTTTTTTCCCTCTCTTTTACTCTCTGGCCTTCAATAAAATACAAATTGTTTATTATTATTATTTTTTATAACTTACTGCATTCGAAATATTATATACAACATAGTCATATTTATTCGAAATTTTTAAAATTATTATTCATTGATTTGTTTGGTATTTCAAATCTTTTTGAATAAAGATAACAATATCCTCTAGAAAATATTGTGAATGATTTCATATTTAATAAAGCTTTGATTTGTTATTGGGAAGATGTTATCATATTTGATAAGTGTGAAACATACTTATTTGAGCTTAAAAATATTGAAATTTAATAGTTCTTTAAGCAATTATAGTCAATTTAATGTATATTTTGTTATTAGGTAAAATTCGATAGTTGAAAGTTGAATTGAAAGAAAGACATGAATAACGACAAGAAATGGCGAAGTACATTGTTTGAGGACCAAATTGCACACATCCAATGTTTGATTTGGCAGCAATAGATACTTTGAAGATTGATAAGAGTCAATTACATGCAACTAGAAGTCAAAAGGAATGAAATTGGAGCAAAATATTACCATAAATCGACTCTCAATCCCATAAGATATCTTTTAGATTTTTAGTCAAAAATTATGACCCATTTTCAACGTAGTAAACGTCCAAATTGGAAAAAATCTACTTCAAGAAAAATTGTAGCCTTTTGAATTAGTTTTTCAATGCACTTTGAATTGCCTTAATCTGATATTGAAAAAAAAAAGTTGTAACTAAAATACTGACTGCTTTGTAGAGACGAAAAATCGCGCGCGAAAGTAACTTTCCTTATTTGACTGGAACTCTTTTAGAAACCAATTTGGACGTGATTTTCAATCACGTCTCAATTCCTACAAATACCTAACAGCATAATACATTAAGGAATATATCCTATATCTCTCATATACATAATATTTTCCGATACTCATCAATTATTATCATCAAAGGAGAAAAATTCAAAGTTTTTGTGAGAAAATTAAAGGAACTTGCAAAAATTCAAACAAGTGGAGATTCAAACTAGATTTTTGGGCAAAGACGAGAATGCGCAAGTGGAGATTCATCGGAAAATCATTGAAGAGATTCAAGACTTCAAGATTCATCTTCATCTTCTCAATTTATCAAAATTTAGGTTATGTCTTTTCACTTAAATATAATTTCTTGTAATTTTAATATGTTAAGCCAGTTTTATACATTGCTAGATGAAATGAACCCTTGTTATAATATTTTTAGTTTTTAATTAATTATTTTGACTTTAATTTGTTTTCAGTTTTGGATGTTTATTATATTTTTATCGTTCTCTTCAACTGCTTGATCACCAATTGAATTGTTAGTGAATTTTATTATTATCGAGAGAGACAATAAGATTTAAGCATAATATAATAAACATTGTAAAATTCAATAGTTGATAGAGAAATACTTACATGCTTTATATGGTTTCAATAGATGTTTTAGCACTTATTAATGCATTTATCATATTTGCATCTTTCATCGAAAGATAAAAGAGTCACATAAAGGGAATATATTTGATCACTATCGAGATAGGTTTTCAATTAAATAAGGAACATTGACCAAGATAAATGATTTGAAATTTAGGTGTAGGGATTTTGGTTCAAGTGGGTTGGGCTACTATAAATAAGGGAAATTTTCACGCGTAACCCAGTACAAAAAGACAAGATAATTCTAACACTAACACAGTTGTTTTATCCCTAACCTAGTACTATAAGTTATAATACAAAATTCCAAATTTACTGAATGACCTAAATAACATAAATTTAGGTAAGTGATTTCAGTCAAGATAAAATAGCTCCAAAAATGTAGGACAAAATTTCACTAAATTTGAAAAGTACAACAAAATTAGATAAAATTTTGAATGTCATTAATGCTATGATGTTTATTTAATTTTTATACTATTAACATTAGATATATGCATATTATATTGGGCAATATGAATTTCAAAAATTAAAAAAAAATTGAAAAAAGATTTTGAAAATAAGCATAAACCAATTTTTTCTAACATTAACAAATCATAACTTCCTAACATCTTTTCCATTCCTTCATCAAGAAAATATTACTATTGGATTCAACATTCATTTTAAGATGTTAGCATATTACAAATTATTTTTATTTTTATTTTATAACTTACTGCTTTTGAAATGTTAAATAAAATATAGTCATATTTATTCGAAATTTTCAAAATTATTATTCATTGCTTTGTTTGGTATTTCAAATTTTTTGGAATAAAAATAACAATATCCTCTAGAAAATGTTATGAGGGATTCCATATTTAATGAAGCGTTGAGTTATTTATTGGGAAGATGTTATCATATTGTAGTTGATAATTGATTATCATCATTAATGTTTTGAATAATTTCTTCTAATCAAACTCAATAAATATTTTGAAGGATTGCATCTTCAATGATTTGCTGTGCAAATTATTTGGGAAGAGGATTTTGTCATTCGTTAGTACAATATTGATGACCACACTTAATATAATGAAGAATTTGTTCCAATCACCCACATATATGCTTCCCATCAGTTTTGACTATTCAACTTCAAATTTTACATTTAAAAACCATTGGGTTAGACATTTCAACCATCGAACTCGACATTTCAAAACTTTCGGGATAGACATTTTAATTGTCGAATTCAACGCTGGAAACTGTTGGGATAGACATTTTAACCGTCGATTTGACATTTTGCTATTGTATGGATTTAATATTGGAATATACCATTTTCATAATATTAAATGTCGACATATTGATTATGCAGGATTCTTACCATTACAATCTCAACTTTTCATATATGAATAATCATTTGAAATTTATCGTGCCGCATGGGAAAAGTTTGTTCATGTGGATGACAAATAGAAGTGGAGGGAAACAAAATCACTTCCATTGTAGATCCCGACAAGTATCATCCT